ATATTAATTTTATCAAGTCAATTTTATTAATATAAATGGTAAGAAATTTATTAGAAAATCTTTTTTAAAGTGTTTGTATTCTAATTAATCCATAAGATATTCTTGTATTTCAATAAGTCATATTATTTGAACATTTGATTTACCAAATCCTAATTCTCATTTTTAAAGTTTTTATAGACATTTCTACCCTTATAAATATTTTTTTGAATAGTTAGTAATTTTATGATGTTAACATTCATATTTTACAATGTGAATATTCACATTGATGTGTGAATGTTTACATGAATAGTATGAATATTCACATTGACAGTGCGAATATTCACATCACGGAATATTCACGCTGTAAATGTGAATATTATTAGAGATATTTTAGTAACTATGTTATTCATAGGACTTACTGAAATATAAAAAAATAATGTGAATTAAATGGAACATAAGTTAGTGAAAAGAGATTTATGAAAAAATACCCCATAAATAGCACGTCACTTATTATTTTAATTTTAAAAATCAAATAGTATATATACATTTTTATAAATAATGGTAGTGCTTAAAATTTCATTTCTAAATTAATTTATCCATGATGACATGGCAGATATTGAGTATTAATTGATTGATTTTTAAATACGGTGCAGCTTTCCTCACATCTTTAATCAGATTAGGCGTTGTTGTTAAGTCAGCGGGGGCCTACCACGGGTCTTGTTTTGATAATTTGAACCGTTCAATATGTAGAACTCATCGAATATTATATTTCTATTAAAAATCACGTCGATCAGATATCGATAACTATGTGATCAAATCAGTTTTGTATTAAAAAAAAACTGTAAACAAATTAACAGTTGAAAAAAAATTGATAAGATGAGATAGCTATCGATATCCGATCAACGTGATTTTTTACAGGCATATAGCACTTGACGAGTTCTACATATTGAACGGTTCGGATTATTAAAACGGGACTCCTGGTGGCCCTCATAGGCCGAACAACACCGTCTAATCCGATTAAAGACCGGAAGCAAGTTGTTCCCTTTTAAATAATCAATTGACATATAAAGATGTTTTAGGGGTCTTAATCTCACTTTTAATTTAGATTATATTAATTAATAAAATAGCTTAAAACAATAGTTTAACTAATTGTATATCGTGGGATCTATTCAATAGTTCAGAACTTTTAAAAAAATGAAAAAACTATTTGTTAGACTTATTTAATTTTTTCGTGAAATACTTCTTTCATCATGTCATTATTAAAAATTATATTCAATTAATAATGTATTAAAACTAACTCAGTATTTTTTATATATGAATGCACGTTGGCTCCTTTCCGGATCAAATTTTTAGTTCCACTCCTAATTATTATTCATTATAATATCTTTTATTATGACTGAAAATAGGTTGATTATATAAACAAGTGGTATTACCATCACAAAATAGTAATCCAAAAAATAACTGGCATCATAAAATTTCTTAAGAATAAACATGGTGTGCTACAATACAAAGAAAAAATTGTGAACTTCAACTAATTGTGTTATTATATAATAGAACCTAAGAAAATGTTAGAGGTCCCAAATTTTCTACTAAATAAATGACCAAATCTCTCACATAGGTTTGGGGTCCACAAAATTGCAGATCCCACACTCATATGAGACATTTGATCATTTATTTGATAGAAAATTTTGTGTCCCTAATATTATCCTAGAACCTAATAAGTCAAAAGAATTCAAGATCTTCTGTAACGTTGGGGCTAAGGCAAGGCGACCGCCTCACGCATATGGCGAGAGCCGGCACTAGTACCAAAAGTGACAAAAAAGAGTTTGTGATGTATATGTTTTCCTCACTCTTTTATTATTATTATTATTTTGTCTACACCAAAGAGTTTATAAAAAAAAAATATAATAATAACAATTGCCAGCTTTTTTACAGGGTGGAGAAAGAAACAAAAGAAAAAGAAATTGGAAAAATAAGTGTGATCAAAGAATGAAAAAATTTTATACAAAATATGACGCGGTTAAAAAAAAATTAATTTTTCTTTTCTTAAATACTAAAAACTAATGGGGAAATGGCATTTCAATATAGAAGCCCAAAAATATTTCACAATAAAAGATTGAAGACTCATGATTTAAAACTCACAATTTTACCAATGTTTTGTCTTAATTTTTATTTTTTTACAAACTCAGACAATGTGGTGTTTTAAAAAATTGATTTTTTTATTTTTTGACTTTTTTAATAATTTTTTAGACAAAAAATTAAGTTATTTTGAGTAAAAATTTTGATTTTTTTAATTAAAAAAAATTAAAAAATCAAAAAATTAACTTTTTTGGTGTTGTCAAAAGACTCCAATTTAAAGCCTAGCTCTTTGCCAATAGATAGGGTGCGAGTTTCCAAAAAGATATTTCAACCCATTTGTAAATTCTACTAATTTTCAATAACATTTCTCCAAAAATAATTAAAATATGTAAAATAATAAATGCACTGATCATTTTCATAGGATCTTTTCTTTTTTGGAGGATAAAAATATTTTTTAGTTTTTTTATTTTATTTTTAAATTAGGAACCGTTTTCACTTTAAAGGAATAAATTATATAAAATGCTACTATCTTACGGGTTCTTTAAAAGAAACATATTAATTATTATAGTTAATTTCATTATTTTTTACTCTCTAGCTACTATAATGACTATTTTAACAAAACTTTTCATGACTAAGCTTTTTAACAAAAAGTTTTTCATGACTAGTTATATTTAGAGAATCTTTAGAGCATTTTTAAACTAATTTATAACAGATAAATATGTAAAATAAAAAATAATGTTGATGAAAAGTTAGTTAAATAAAATAAAAATATATTTTTTTTATTATTTAATTAGTAAAAAATGAAGAATAACATTAAAATTGATCATATTTTTCTTTTGACTTTTGATTAGAGTAAACACCAAGGTTACCTATAGGCTATACATATATGGAACAAATCATTGAAATCCTTTGCAATAGTGTGAGTGGGAAATGAGGGAGTTGGAGATAGGCAGCCATGAAGCACTTTTGAGGGTCTCTCTTACAATTCCCAAGAAAAGGAAAAGAAAGACCAATAAGCAGAGTTGTGAGTACTGTCATCAGAACCAGAAACGGTTAGATTTTTTTTTTTTTTTCTCTCTCTCTCATGTTTTCCTTCATACTATCGGCAGTTTATCGGAATTATTCAATAGTCCCAGAATACTATATGACAAGTAGAAAATTTCACAAGTGCGTCATGCTGACTCATCTTTATCAACTAATTAAGAGACAAATGATAACTCACTAAGTATGTGTTGTGCTTTTTTATTGAATTTTTATTTGTTATAATTAAAATGAGAAAATTTCAGGTTGAAAGTTGCTAAATTTGGTTTTGGTATTATATTGACTAACACAATTTAATGTTCAAATTTATTTATTTTTTTGATGATTATAGTTATGCAAGTGAGAAAGGATCCATTTCATGTGATGTTGTGTATGCATTTCTGATACCAAATCTGGTTGCCCTCCTCCAACTCCATTACCAAAACAAAGGCATGTCTCCTTTCGAAACACACCCCACAAAAATGCGAGCATTCTTCACAACTTTGGGTCTCTATTGCTCCACATTAGCAGCTGAAAAGGTTCTCCAAACCTATCATCACAACAAGAAGTACTCGAAAATCTTGGGCTTTCTCAGTCTGATTTTCGGAGCTCTTTCTTCGCTATCGCTTATGTCTCTGTGTTTGCCTAAATCAATTGTCGTGCAGCCCTGCCCCACTTAGACTCGAGAAATTGAATTAACGCTAGAGGTGGATAAAGAGGAAGATGTCTTTGCTCAATCAGAATGATTATAGTAATCTGCTCTGTTGTATCGTTGATGGTGACACGTTGATTTTTAAGGTGTTTATGCCATTGGATTTACCAAAAGAGTGTGAATGCTGTTTTACAATTGATCAACATGTTTGGAATAATGTTCCTGGGACGCAGATTGATGCAGCAACGAAACTAATACCTTGTATGATTCTCCTTCTCGTTTGAGCAGTACTCGGTATTAAAGAGCATATTGAGATCACACATAAAGACTAATATATACCAAATGTAGTAATAAATAAATAAATAAAGTTAAAAAAAAAAAAAGAGTGATAAATGTGTCATTGCTCATGTACAAATTGTGTGTAGAAGTGCATGTATCAAGTTGGATATAGGGTCTACTTGAGTGTGTAAAATACAAATAATAAAATGTATAAAATTATTTCTTTTATTTTTATTTTTATTTTTTTATGAAGTACAAGTGGGACTCACTCTCTCTCTCTCTCTAACAAACTCCTCTTATCCTTGATTACTAGGGAATTTGTGCAGCTGATGAGAAATATCTTGTATTTCGAAAGATTATGCTGAGATGTATTTAATCAATAATAGAAAGTTAAAATATTTCCATAGTTTGAAAAATAAGAAACATAGCGGACAAATCACAAAATATTATTGGATAGGCACATAATCATAGATGTTAAACCAAATTTTCATTTAAATTTGATATATATATGTAAAATAAAAAATAAATAAAAAAAGAGTTGAAGATGATGTTATCTACTTTATTATGGTTCTTTGAATAGTAAAACAAAAAAGTAGGCTCTCAAAAGAAGAATATATTCGTTTGGGAAGTGATTATTTTAGTAGGCTATTTTAATTTTTAACTATTTTAAGTAGGTTAAAAGTTTTGTGTTTGAGAAGATGATTGAATTTTTTTGTAGTTGGATGTGATGGTTGTGAGAGAAAAAGTGAAATGATTATGGATTTGATGTGATATTTTGTCTTATTAGCTATTTTAGCCCATTTTGTCTTTTTGTGATTTTTAGCCTAAATTTGGCTATTTTTTTTCTTCCCAAATATATATAAGACATCCAAAAATGAGTAATAAATTCTGTTTTTTTTTTTTTTTTCCTTCAGAGAGATAAAATTTAACAATTTTGATTTAATCTCCATGAAAAACTCAGAATTTGAAATAGAATTTTTGTAACTGACGATTAAAAAAATATAAAAATACAGAGTTTGCAATTAGAATTTCTTTGGGAAAATTTATTTGGCATTCAATTTCACAGGGACATATATTCATGATTTGTACAACAGGTTTGCTTGGTTTACACAGGACAAAGCAAAATGCGAAATCTTCACATTCGATAACATATGAGCATGGATGGCCCAAGTCTTCAAGCCCAAGCTTCCTTAGCCCAGTGGACAACATCTCACATTGATGACGAGCCCTGACGCCACATGACAGCTATTGGGCTCCTCACTCGATGGGCCCCATCGGTCCACTGAATGGACCCAAATCCTTGTGAAGCCGCGGCAACATAAATCTTATCCAACGCCACACTACTGGTGAATGTGATCTCATAGGGCAAGCTCTGATTCTCTACATCGAACACAAGCTTGCTCGGTGAAACACTGATCTCAACCAACGGTGGAGCATTCACTTTCACTTCATAAATAGCATCCACATCACCCCCAACATTTTTCACCACTCTTTTGTGCTTAATTACACTTTTCATCGAATCAAACGCGATTGAGAAAGATGGATAGTTCAGATCACCAGGACTAGAAAAACTCTGTGCTCCGCAATCCACCGGATCATTCACAAAAATTGATATTTTCTTCGAATCGTATCCAATGGCGCAGAGGAACGCCACGTAATCGGTACCATCAATGTCATAGATTAAACCAGGATGTAGGGCTCTGTTGGGGTCCACGTGTCCAGCACCATGTATGAACGGTGTTGATTCGTCTCCAGTGGCAAGGTCCGTAATATTACGGCCATTGTTGTCCAAATTGTAAGCCGTGGTCATAAGGGCCGACTTGATTGCGGCTGGGCTCCATTCCGGGTAGGCTTTCCGGAGCAAAGCCGCCAACCCGCTTGCATGCGGGCACGACATGGATGTACCCGAGATGATATTAAAGTCCACTCTTCTCGGGTCGATATCCAAATCTGTGGGGCTTGTATACCCGGTCCAACCCGCCAAGATGTTGACTCCAGGAGCTATGACGTCGGGTTTGAGAATCTCTTGCGTGAGACGGTTCGGACCGCGGCTCGAGAACGCCGCAACCCTAGGTGCTGGCGGAGAAGTTCCGATCACCGTCCCTTTGAAGACTATCGCCGCCGTAGGCGACGGATCAGATTTGACGTAGTCTCTGATCTTATCGCCGGCGATCTGCCCAACCATAGTCGCCGGGACGAGATGCGAATCGGCGATGAGCTCTTCGCCGCTCTCTTCCGTGTTCGCCATTATCATTCCGACACCGCCGGCGAGTTTCACGGCACTTCCTTTCGCAACTCTTGCGTTGCCGCCGCGATCGCAGACAACAATCTTCCCGGCGACTTCTGTAGAATTGAGCTTTCCTGAGTAACAGTATCGATTTCCACAATCGGCAGCATAAACCAAAGGAAGCTTCGAATCTCCGAGTGAATCGCCGGAGTAGAGTGATACGCCGCCGTAGATCCTACCATCGCCGAGAATCACATCCGCCGGAAACTCCCTATCGATCGTCGAAGCTCCGACGGTGAGAATCCATGGAGCGATGTTGACGGCGGTGTAGGGATCGGGACCGGAATTCCCTGCGGAGCAAGACACGAGAATTCCGTGTTGAGCAGCTCCGAACGCACCAATCGCGATGGAGTCACGATAATACTCCGGCGCTCTACCGTTAGCTCCGACGGAGAGAGAGATTACATGAACGCCATCGAAGATCGCTTGATCCATCGCTGCGAGTATATCCGATTCGTAACAACCTACGCTCCAACAGATCTTGTAAGCAGCGATTCTCGCTTTCACCGCCATGCCTCGAGCTTCACCTCTCGCGTATTCAAAGAATCCAGCGTTCGCAACCACCGATCCGGCAGCTGTAGAAGCTGTATGAGTCCCATGCCCTTCTGTATCTCTCGGCGACTTCGATTCTGCAGATTCATCCATTGGTTTCCCAATCGAAGCTTCGTATCCTCTGAAATAAGCTCTCGCACCAATAATTTTCCGATTACATGACGATGCAGGGAAGTCCGATGCCGTGTTACATTTCCCTTTCCAAGTGGAGGGAACCGGAGACAGTCCCTCGTCGGAGAAACTCTCCCGCTCCGGCCAAATTCCGGTATCGAGAACCCCGATGATAACGTCGTCGGCGTAATCGGAGTTAGGCCAGAGGCCGAAGGAGTCGGTGAGGCCGAGGAAGCGAGGGGTGTGAGTGGTGTGGATGTGGTGGAGACGGTCAGGGAGGACGGAGAGGATGCCGGGGACGCGGCGGAGGTCGGCGGCTTGGGAGGCGTTGAGACGGGCGGAGAAGCCATTGATGGCGCGGTCGTAGGTGTAGAGGATGTGGGAAGAGGATGCAGATACGGAATCGAGGATTGAGGAGTACCAGCGTCGATGGGAGATGAAGGAGGTGGGTTTGTGAGATTTGGAGACGTGGATGATGAAGGAGTTTGGAAGATCAATCGATTCAGAGGGAACTGAGGAAGTTGCAGAGGTTAGAGAGACAAACAACAAGTAGGAGACCAATATGGGTATGGACATGCCCATGGTTTCTTCTTCTTCTTCTTCTTCTTCTTCTTCCACAAATCGGAGAGTGGAAGAAGATATAGAGAGTAATTGGGTATTGGAAGAGAATGACACCACGTTGAGATGAGTGATTGGGTATTGGAAGAGAGACGAAGCAACGGACTAACCATACTGGTGGTGCCCACTTGTTTTATGTCACGCTCGTACACATAATTTAGGATCAGAAAGGGATCGTTGATTTTGTTTTTTTGTTTTATTTTTATGGTTTTCGGTACAGAGAAGTTGGATCTGGACATGCATTATGTTACACGAGGCTGTAACATTATTGGAAAGTAATAGGAAAGTAATGGATTTGACTTTTTCTTTTATGTAAATAAATATTTGAGGATTGCTATGTATTTTTATTTTATTTTTTTTGGATCTTATTCTATATTGCTTTGGGTTTTCATGGAGGATGTTTCTATCTCTCTTCACCCGTTGGTGCTATATGATATTGTATAGTCTTCTGTGTTTTCATCAGGCTTTCTCCATCCAAAAAAAATTATTCATTAAGTTTCGTTTGTTTGGGAATAGATTTTTTTAGTAATTTTTTAATTTTTTGGTTAAAATATGATATAAAAAAATTTAGTATATTTAGGATGACTTTTTGATTTTTTATTAAAAGATGTGCAAAAAGTAAAGAAAAAATAAAATTTTTGATTTTTAGTATAAGTTATTGACTTTTTGATTTTTTTAGTGACTTTTTAAATTTTTGACTAAAATAGTCACTTGTCAAACAAGACTTAAATATCAAATTTTATTGTACTTAAAAATCATGATAAGTTTTTATTTTTTACTTTTTAAATATGGGTAGGTGTTTCTGTGTATATTGCATGTCATTTTGTTGAAAAAATGGATAAAATTCTGGTGATGTATATTATTTTTTTAATTATATATAAATTTTTTAGGATATATTATTTATGCAAATATCACTGGGTGTAACAAATTAATTATATTATATGGTTGTGGGTTAAATTGCGAGGGCTTTAAAATATGGATTTTTACCTATTTTTTTAAGATAGTTCCGTTCTCAAATATTTCTTGCAGCATATTTTCAAAAACAATTTACTTTTGAACGGCTAGGCTCCATTTGGATTGGGAGGTGAGAAAAGAGAAAAAAATAATAATGGTGTATCATTCGGTCAAAAAAGAAATGAAATAATTATATTTTCACATATGAACCAATTAACAAGAAAAAAATAATTTTTGGTTTTAATTCATTTTAAATCATATCACTTCTCACTTTTTTTTACACATAATAAGACAAAAAAGTCCAAAAAGTCCAAAAAAAAAAAAAAGGATTTTAACCAACTTCCCATATCACCCCATAGAGATATAAGTGAGATTTCTTTTTCATTCACTTTTATTTTAAAGGACTGTTATGATATTATAAATATTTTTCAATCATATTTATTTCTCACCAAATTTTACCACTTTTAATGAAAAATAAATGGACTTAGTAAAAGCATCTCCAACGGTATATCATTTTTTTCATCAAATTTGAGGAAAAGTTTTCTTTGATATCACTTGCTTTAACGGAGGATTTTTGCTTCTCATCAAACTATCGATCGACCAACCAATATAAAATTTTCACAATAGGACAAGGAGCAACATCAGTGACCAAAATGATAATCTTCTATTCAATTAGGAGGCTTCACAGCCATCAGAGCATATGTTAGACAAGAGTATGTCTAACATTAAATGGTGGTGTTATTGAGATGTAAAGGTTAGGATATGTTCTCTCTCAATTAAAATGATACCCAGGGGCGACTTTCTTTATTATTTATGCTATTATCAGGTGAAATGTTCAATACTTTCAGAGAGCGGTGGTAGTTTTGGCAGTAGTTAAAGTATATTTTTACTTGTGTTTTTATAAACCTTTGGAAGTTAAATATTTGTTGTTGTCTATTTTTTATTGTTATTTATTTCACAAACCCTTAAGGTTGCAGTTAAATTTTTTTTTGTGCGCGCATTATATAGAAAATTAATTCCTAAAACCATTTTGATTCGGTATATTTTGCATTATCTCCAATTTATTGATTCTTTAATGCCATTATTGAACCCTGTTCAAGTAGTAGAGTGCTTTTAATTAGACATTTGCAAATAACCTATAAGTTTTGGCGTCAAGACTTATTTGCCTAACCGCTGCAACTACTACTATGACTCCGATTGAGGGGTCATCCGGGAGGTCGACCGGCCAGTGTAAAATTTTCATAAAATTTTGCCTTGAGGTGATCATTCGGGGGACATCCGATGGTAAAAATACAATGGTAATGAACAGTAATTTAATGAAAGGCACAAAGCATACTCAGTTTGGTGAAACATTTTTGATATTCTCAATTTGAAATATGTTTAATGAAATTATTGAAGTAGAAAAAAATGATACTTTTTACCAAAATTGAATTTGGTGATAAATTTGATACACAGAGATGACCTAAGAAAATTATCTTTCTCAATATTTCTCACTTGGCTTATAAACTAAATATGATAAAAGAACGCTTTTTTTATCATTTCTTATTAATTATCACCAAATCACCCCATCCAAATGGAGTGATAGAGTTGAATTTCAAACTCAACCCATTTCAATTTTCAAATTATTTAAAGGCTCTGCTATGTTTGATAGAGGAGAAAATAAAAAGGCTTGAGAAAAAAAAGTAAACGAGTTTCTTTTCCTCTGTTTGTTCACACGAGAAAGTTAAAGGGGATTTTTTTTTTTTTTTTTCTTTGTTCTTCCTTTCATGCGTTACATGTCACAATCCAAAAGTTTCTTTCCTAATAAAGATTTTTCGAGAGGTGGAAAATTGCTCAAAGTTTCTTTCTTAAATTATTTTATTTTCTTTCCAAAACAACAAAAGAAGAGAATTTTCCCATCTTTTTCCTTCCTGCCAAACATAGAATTAATATTGAAGCCAATGCGATAATTCCCAACTACATGGATCTAGCCAACTCCATTAACCTCCATGGCTTTGCTCCCTTGATAATCTTTTCATGTCTGTGCTTGAAAAGCCGATGAAGTACAAGCAAAAATGAAGCCTATTGTCCTTTTGTTCATCAAATCAATAGCTAAAATTTGATGTTCCAAGATCTAGGAATCAGAATATATTTGGGATTAGGCTACTAATTACGGGATCAAACTATGTTGAGAAGATCACAGATTGACAAGTGGGTGAACAATTCTAATAATACAGATTACAAGGATCACAACAACAGGCTTTGGTGCATTTGGAACAAAGTTTCACCTTTATACACCGAGGAAAGCACGAGTGGAATCCACCGCAATTGCAGCGTGGACATGAAAGATCCAGACAGTTGCAACATTTTCGACAAGAGCAGCAGTTGCTGCTACCCCTGGGAGAGTTATCTGGCGAAGAGCAAGCACAGCAGATTGGTGTTTGTAGATGAATACAACGCCCATGAAAGCTGCAAATCCATTTTAAATCAAACTTTCCCCTGCTCACAATAAGATTAATATCCCATTAAATTCTTCATTCAAACACCATTTCAAAAATAGTAGGACATATTTCAACGGGTGTTTGACAAGTGTTGGGAAGTATTTGACAAGTATTGTATCATGTCTATGATGGACATGACACACCACTTCTTAGTCGTGTGTGTGTTTCTTAGCCGCTCTGAGAAGCCAATTGTCAAGGTAAATTGAGACAAATGTGAGAGAAGGTACATGTCAATTACACTAATTGAGCTTCTCATTTTCCTTTCCATATGGTCTATCAATTGCTTTCTATCAGTAGACAAATGCATTAATTAGAAAATGAAATGATTATGATGTCCTACTGAATGCTTTATGCAAATTCTCTTACAAATATGAAAGAGAAAAAAGGAAAAACAGACCTATTGAGAAGGTTGGTAACACGTAACTTAACATCATCCATGAAGTAGGTTTCTTAATTTTCATCACAGAAGACACTAGTGACTCATGATAACAAGAACAGGGAAGTGAAAGAGGCAACCCAAAAATCAAACCATAAAGCAAGCTGTTAGTGCTACAAACACAGAAGATTTTCACAAAATATTTGGGACCCACCCTTTGTCTCACATCTATGTGAAAATCCTCTATGCAGTTTATATCTAAAACAAGGGTAGGTAATAAATAATAATGACCGAAGGCAATATAACATGGTTACAAATAAAAAGATCATATTATAGCCCAATACCAGAATCTCTTCCAGAAGTAATGTGATCTAGAAGTCTTCTGATCTCTGCTTGAAGAAAAAAGAAACAATTTTGTATTTTTAATTTGGTTAATATAAAATCAGAAAATAAAATAAAACAAAGGTTTGTGTTATAGAATCATACGTAGCTAGAAGTGGATCAGCCCTTGCGTCTATAAAGTCATCAAGCCTGCCACGATTCGTTCAGGATCAGAATAATTCAATTACAATGGAACTTGCAAATAAACTAGATCGAGATATCGTGTTGACTATGTGGGCCATAAGGAGACAAGAGGAGCTTAACATACTCTTTGCAGCACCTTGAAGCAAGTTGCACACCTTCAAGCGATTTTAACTCTTCCTGTTTGCATCATAATCTTCCATAACTACTTGTAATTTTTTGTGAAGAAAAAAACACAAAAAATTACCTAAAAGTGAGTATTGTACATGCATCGTGCTATTTTACACATCTCTTTGTGCAAGTGCTTGTGAAAACGGAAAATAGAAAGTGACTACTATGTAGCTTTAGGGTTGGTTTGGAAAGAGTTGGTTTTTTGACTTTTTGGTTTTTTTGGCTATTTTAGCCTAGGCTAAAAAGCTTGGTTTGGGAAGGGCTTTTTGATTTTTTGATTTTTTTGATTTTTTTTTGTGAGAGAAGAGTGTAATGATTATAGGTTGATGCGATGTTTTGTTTTTTGTGGCTAGAATAGCCTATTTTGTCTTTTGTGGTTAAAATAACCAAAAAAAACCAATCTAGCTCTTTCCAAACATCATTAAGGAAAATGTAGTACACGTGTGTTTTCAACAATATCAAGGTTCATTGAGCTCAAATAAGAGAGTATTACATATGCATTGTGCTATTTGAGCTTAATGAATGTTGTTGACATACTCAAAGGGACAAATGAGGATTCGGGAATTCATTTTGCATC